CGCGGGGCCTGTGGCCCGAACACCCCCCGGCAGCCCCGGCTGGGACGGACCCGGTGGGTCCCGGCGGGCCCCCCGGCCCCGCCACGCACGTGTGTCCCCGGTGGGTCCGGAGGGGGACGGGGAGCCCCCGGTGCCGTGTCCCGGTAACGGTCCCACTCCGAGCTGAGCAGAGGAGCCAATAGAGCAGGAATTCACAGTGGCTGTGGGAAATGTGTGGCCCAGTACAGCCCAGTGCCTCCCAGTACGGCCCAGCATAGCCCAGTACAGCCCAGTGCTGCGAGGGACACCAGCAGTTCCTTGACTGAACACAATTCCTGAGCAGGGAATGCCATCCCGGCACTGCTCGGAGCTGGGAAGGGATCAGGAGCCAGCAGGGAGCAGCCCGTTGTCACCTGTGGTGCCCTGGAGCAGCTGTGGGGGTGGCAGTGGGGACATGGGGGTGGGCGTGTGGGTGGGGGGCTTTGAGCGGGCAGAGCTGCCCTGTCCCCACCCTGTCCCTGTCCCTGGTACGGAGCTGCCCCGGCAGCCCCGAGCCGGGCACGGGGGTCACTGTGGCCAAGGGAAAGGGCGATGCCAGCGGCCGATTGATGCCCCAGGACCACCGACACCCACCCAGGGATGGGGGCCCGGCTGGACAGACCCCAGAGTGTGACAGAGGGGCCACAGGGGCGACCCCCGGGACCCTCTCCCACCACCCTCCTGCTCAGAGGGCTGGGCCTGGACTGGGGCAGCCGCATTGTCCTGGAGGAGGCCACTGCCCAGGGACTCCCTGGGACCACCGGGAGCCACCCGATGACACGGTTCCCACCGGACAGACCCCAGAGAGCGGGATGGGGGCGGCCCATGGGCGACCCCCGGAGCCCTCACCCGGTGCGGAGGCCGCGGGCTGGGTTTGCACCGGGGGAGCCGCTGCCCGGGGAGCCCCAGCACCGCCAGGACCCCCACCTGGGACGGGGTCCCCCCCGGGCAGACCCCACAGAGCACGAGGGAGACGGCACAAGGGCGACCCCCCAGACCCTCGCCCGCCGCCCCGGGCCCCTCCGCCTGCCCAGGGCCCCGGGCCGCCCGCCCGCGCCGCTGCCCCCGTTTCCCCCGGCGGTGGGCGGTCCATCCCCGCGGCCCGGCCCCGCCGCTCCCCCCGCCCCGCAGCCGCCGAGCCGGAGCCGCCGCGGCCGGACCCGATGCCGGGAGCTGGGCGCTGAGGGCGGCCCCGACATGGGGGTTCTCAGCATCACGGACCAGGTGCGGCCGCCGCGCCCTCCCTCCCCTCCCGCCTGCCCTCCTCCCTCCCGCCGCGCTCGGGCCGCGCCGCCACCGCAGCCCGGGGATGCGCGGCCTAGTCCGGCTCCGCCACCGGGCCCGGCCCGGCCGCCGCCCCAAGGCCGCGGGCCCCGCTGCGCCGGTTCCCCCGGGCCGGCCCCGGCCCCGGCACGGCCGCGGGTCACCGCCCGTCCCGCTCCGCCCGCCGGGCCCAGCGCGGCCGGGACCCCCGGGGACGGGACCCGCGGGAAGGACCCCCCGGCTCGGGAATGGGGGAAACCCGGGCATGGGACCCCCCGGGACCCCCGGGAGGGACCCGCGGCCTCGCTGCGCCTCCCGCCGCCGCCCCGCCGGGTTTTGGGGATGCTCCCGGGGTGCAGGATGTCCCCCACCGCGTTTGGGGACACGCTTTGCGTGCGGAGTGGCCCCAGAGAAGTTTTGGGGGGCACCTCTGGTTGCGGGTTGTCCCCGTCGGGTTCGGGGTCTCCCCTTGGGGCGCTGGGTTGTCGCCGTGGGGTTTTGGGGGCACCTGTGGGGTGCAGCGTGTCCTTGTTGGGTTTTGGGGAGGCTCCTGGCGTGCAGGGAGTCCCCAGCGGGTGTTGGGATACCCTTGGGATGCAGAGTGTCCCCATCACGGTTTTGGGGACGGTCCTGGGGTCCCTGTTGAGTTTTAGGGACACCCTTAGGGTGCAGCATGCCCCCACCAGGTTTGGGGATGGCCCTGGCTTGTGGGGAGTCCCCAGCAGCTTTTTGGGACACCCTTGGGTGCAGGGTGTCCCCAGCATGGTTTTGGGGATGCTCCTGATGTGCAGGGTGTGCCCATAAGGCTTGGGGGACGCCTCTGAGGTGCAGTGTAACTGTCATGTTTTGGGGGCACCTCTGGCATGCAGGGTATCCCTGTCGGGTTCTGGGGACACCTCTGGTGTGCAGAGTGTCCCTGTCGTGTTTTAGGAATGCTTCTGTGGTGGAGAGTGATTTTGGGGACACCCCTGAGGTGCAGGGTTGGCTTATTGTGTTTTAGGGATGATTCTGGGGTTCAAGGCATCCCCATCAGGTTTTGGGGGCACATCTGGGGTTCAGGGCATCCCCATCAGGTTTTGGGGACACATCTGGGGTGCAGGGTCACCCTCCCTGGCCGGTGGCTGCTCCCTGGGCCACTCTGTCGTGTCCCATTACTGGAGCCGTGACCCCGGAGTGACCTGGGCTCGGACCCCCCCTCTTCCCACTGTTTGGAAGCCTGGGGGGTGGGCTGGGGATGAGGGGGTGAAGGAGGAGGGGGCTGACCCAAGGCCACCGTTTCTGATTTAAACAGAACTTTATTTTTCGGGATAACCCAAACATTCCTCTCTCCCGTGGTGGGTGGGTGTGTCAGACCCAGCGCCGCCGCCGGAGACGCTGGTTTTCCAGTCTTTCCTTCTTTTTTTTTTTTTTTTTGGTAAAAAAACCCCCTTTTTTACTGTCTAACAAGTGATGCCGAGGCTGCTGCATTCCAGGGGGATGACGCAGGCGCTGCCCTGGCCCAGGATGTGTTCCCTGGGTTTAAGTGCCCTTATTTTGGGATGAGGCAGAGATGGGAAGGGGTCACTTCCAAAGGGAGCTCGGTGTGTGCCGGAGAGGCTGAGAAGAGTGGGGCTCAATGGTTTCCACATTAAATCCAGCCTTTGGGGGGTGGGCAGAGCTGGGGGGCTGCAGGGGGTCACAGCACCCAGGACCCTCCATCCCAAAAGCTGCAGCAGCTCTGAGGCTGAAGTGGGGACGTGCTGGGTGCTGAACAGCCCAAGAGCAGCCTCTGCTCCCATTTTTCTTCAGGAAAATGGCATTTTTAGGCCTGGAAAGAGGAAATGGGGTTCAGGGATCGCGGGTGGTGCCCGGAGGTTGGGCAGCACCTTCCCACTGCCCTGTCCCAGCAGCAAAGGGGCTCCAGCAGCTCCGACCTGGGCTGGGGCCCCATTACCAGAGGGATTTCTGGCTGTGCCCAAATTTTGGGTGGTAGGAGCTGGACCTGTTCCCGTGATTGGGAACAGGTGCTGGGTGCTGTGTGTGGAGATCTCAGCTGTGCATCGTCAGTGCTGCTCCCTGGACTCCTTGGGAAGCAGGGAGGCTTTTCCAATGATTCCTTGCTCTGTTTCTCAATGAACAACCAAGAAAAGTGTCTTTGCTGGCTGGAAAACTGGTCCCTGGTGCTGGCTGGGCCACAGGGGTGAGGAAGCTGCCGGGTGCTGCCGGCGGGCCGGGCATGGGACTCGCTCCTGGAGCTGGGTCAGGCTGGTGTGGAGCCTCTGGCACGTGGAAACACTGCAAGTTCTCCTCCCTCTCACATCTTCTGTGTGGTGCCACCATCAAGACTCGTTTCCCTTCTCCTTTGCAGCCTCCTCTGGTCCAAGCCATCTTCAACCGGGATGTGGAGGAGGTTCGGTCGCTGCTGAATCAGAAGGAGAACATCAATGTACTGGTGAGAGCTCGTGCTCCATCCCTCACCCAGCACTCCCAAAATCCTTCCCATCCTTCACCCAGCTCTCCCCAAATCCTTCCTGTCCCTCACCTCGCACTCCTTGGTCCTTCCCGTCCTGAGATCAGATCCTGGGAAGGGTTTCCATTGCCGGGTGTTGGGAAGGGTTTCCCCTCTCAGGTGTTGGCTGCCCCATCCCTGGAAGTGTCCAAGGCTGGGTTGGGCAGGGCCTGGAGCAACCTGGTCTAGTGGAAGGTGTCCCTGCCCATGGCAGGGGGTGGAACAGGAGCTTTAAGGTCCCTTCCAACCCACACCATTCCATGATTCTGTGGAGTGAGTGGCTGGAGCTCTCACAGCCTGTCCCAGGTCTCCTCTGCTCTGACCACCAGCTACAGCCCAGCACCCACAGAGCCCCAGAGGGCTGTGCAACCCCCAGCACGCAGGAGGGTGCTGGGTTTGAGCAGTTTTCCCCCCATTCTGCCTCCTGAGAGGCTGCATATACAGAATCCCAGAGTCCTTGGGGTGGGAAAAGACCTCTGAGATCATCGACTCCACCCTGTGCCCCATCCCCACCTTGTCCCCCAGCCCAGAGCTCTGGGTGCCACCTCCAGGCCTTCCTTGGACACCTCCAGGGGTGGGGACTCCAAACCTCCCTGGGCAGCCCCTGCCAATGCCTGACCACCCTTTCCATGGAGAAATTCCTCCTGATGTCCAGCCTGACCCTCCCCTGGCACAGCTGGAGGCCGTTCCCTCTCCTCCTGTCCCTTGTTCCCTGGGAGCAGAGCCCAACCCCCCCCGGCTCCCCCCTCCTGTCAGGGAGTTGCAGAGCCAGAAGGTCCCCCCTGAGCCTCCTTTTCCCCAGGCTGAGCCCCCCCAGCTCCCTCAGTTCTCCAGCCCCTTCCCCAGCTCCGTTCCCAGCTCTGGACACGCTCCAGCCTCTCACAGCAGTGTTGGTGTACGGGAGGCATCGGAGGAGGAGGAGGAGGAGGAGGAGGAGGATCTCCCAGCCCTCTCCCTGCCCTCCAAGCTCACGGATGGTTTTTGTTCCTTCCCCCCAAGGACCAAGAACGCCGAACACCGCTCCATGCTGCTGCCTACATAGGAGATGTTGCAATCCTCGAGCTCCTAATCCTGTCAGGTGAGGGCTGGGGCTCGGAGCAGGCTCGGATCTGGCACAGGCGCTGCCTCGGAGACACCCCTGATCCCCCCTGGCCTCGGGGGTGCAGCAAGACAGGGTTTGGTCACCCTCCAACCGTGTGCTCACGCTTAATCCAGCGAGGTTGCAGCCAGGGGAAGATTAGGGAATGTTGCCATAATCCTAAGAGGTTTGTTCAGGCGGAGAAGTGTCTTGGAACTGAAATAGCCGAGGTGGAAATGGAGCCAGGAGGGGGGTGTGTGGCACTGGAGGAGGTGCTGGAGGAGGAGGATGCACAGCTTGGACAGCAGGGTGCTCAGAGCAGCAGTTCCCCTTGCTCCCAGAGCCAAAATCCAGGGGATTTTGCTCAGTTTTGGGTTGTGTCACTTGCCATCAAGGTGCCCTTCGCTTCTCTTTCAACACAGTCAGTGCTTGGGCCCTGTGTGCTGAGTGTTGAGTCTCCTTCTCTGCTCCTCAGCGTGTGGAGCCTCGGGACACTGTGGAGTGAGGGAACCCCGAGGCTGCCGTGATCCTGTGTGACCCCAACAGGGAGAGACTTGGGCACATTCTTTGCTGAGGCCTCGTTAAACGGGATCTGGGAGGTTCAGCTCCATCTGCGGAGCTCAGGGTGCCCTTGCCTGCCCCGTGTGGACTTCTACCTGCCTGTGTGTGGAGTTCTGGGCAGCAAAGAGAGGCAGAAGAGGGGCCTCGGGGGTGGTGGGCCCTCCCTGACCCCTGTTTTGTTGTCCCCCAGGTGCTAATGTGAACGCAAAGGACACGGTTTGGCTCACCCCGTTACACCGCGCTGCGGCCTCTCGGCACGAGGTGGGTGCCCTGGGAAGGGGCCTCTGGCTCTGTCTGCTCCCCGTGGGAGGAGGGGGCTGTGCTTCTCCTCCTCCTTCCCACCCTGCCTGGTTTGGGCTGAGATGGGGGGTCTCATTAGAGCAGGAAGGGGCCGAATGCAAAGTTCAGAGGCTGCAAATGGGAGCTGGAACAAAAACCCCCTTGATTCCCTTCCCTCCATCCTGCAGGAGTCAACCTGTGGGTTTTCCCCACATTCTCCTCCCTGCCTTCACCCCTTCCCCAGGGCTTTGTCTGTTCCAGCCTTACATTCCTTTGAGGGATGTTGGGGCTCTCACCCTGTCTCTCAGGAGCTGATTCCAACAGATCCTGTTGGAAAGTTTTCCCGGTGTTTATCTTTTGTGGGTTTAACTTCATCCCACTTAACTTTGCCCTGGTTTGAGTTGCTGGAGAGTGAGGAACTGTTGGTTGGAGCCAGGAGATCCAAAGCCCTGAGTGACGTGCGGGGCGAGTTACCACCCATGGAATTCTGATCAGCAGGAGACCCGGGATGGAACATGAGGGTAAACCCCTCCAGAAGGTGTTTGTTGGGAATGTGTGTGGACAGTCCCTGTGGGTCCCTAAAACATGGAGCTCGTGCTGCTTGTCTGGGAGTTTGGGAATCTGGGCACTCTCATTTCTTCTCCGCCTGGGAAGTGCTGGAGCGTCTCCTCCCTCGTTCTGTTCCTCCCCAGGTGCTTGGCACAGGGCTCTGCCAGCACTGGCATGCCCAGCTCCTGAGAGGAGCCTTCCCAAAACGCTTTCCCTGCCTGGAGCCCGCTCTCCAGGGTTGCTGGGTTGGTGTTTCTTGGCTCCATGTGCCACTCCAGGCCTGGGAGCAAAGAGCAGGGCAGTAATCCATAGGGTTGGGATCGCTGCAGGTGGTGCCGTGGGGAGGTGAAACCGAAAATGAGGGGCTGCAGCCAAGAGCCTGCACAGCAACGGGGGGAAATGAGTGTCACATGTAGGTCAGTGGGTCACGTTTGTCATCCCCGCCCCTGGTGAGTCACAGGGTTAATCACATGGCTCGGGGTTTTCTCCAGCCCCTTCCCCAGCTCCGTTCCCAGCTCTGGACACGCTCCAGCCCCTCAATGTCTCTCTTGCCGTGAGGGCCCAGAACTGGGCACAGCTCTGGAGGGGCCTCAGCAGTGCCAGCACAGGGGGACAGTCCCTGCCCTGGGCCTGTGCCCACACCGTGGCTGGCACAGCCCAGGGGCCGCTGGCCTCCTTGACCACCTGGGCACACCTGGGCTCACGTCCAGCCGCTGTCACCGGCACCCCCAGGGCCTTTCCCACCGGCAAGATCCCTTCTCTCTGCTTGTTCCTGGAGCCTCTGTCATGCTGTCTCTGCCTCTGTGTGATAACGTGCTGAGACAGCCACATGTGTCTTGGGGATGTCCCTGGGGACATGGGAGCAAGCAGATCCTTTCCTTTGAGGTGTGGGGAGAAACCACCGCACCGGAGCGCGTGGAGCAGTCACGGCTCAGCCGGGCCTGGCTCTGGGGCTGGTGTGGCTCTGGAAGGACGAGGAGGACCTGGGGGCCTCCCAGGGCTCTGTTAGGCCGGGTTAGAGCCCCCCTCTCTCCTCTGCTCCCGCAGAAGGCACTTCACCTCCTCCTGAAGCACTCTGCGGACGTCAATGCCCGCGACAAGCACTGGCAGACGCCGCTGCACGTGGCCGCGGCCAACCGGGCCACCAAGTGCGTGGAGGCCCTGGTGCCCCTGCTCAGCACCGTCAACGTGGCCGACCGCACGGGCCGCACGGCGCTGCACCACGCCGTGCACAGCGGCCACCTCGAGGTAGGCGGGGGGCCCGGCCCGCGCCCCCTCCCCGCGCCGGGGCAGGAAGGGCCTGGCCCCTCTCACCGCTCCTCCCCGTGCAGATGGTGAACCTGCTGCTGAACAAAGGGGCCAGCCCGAGCACTTGTGACAAGAAGGACCGGCAGCCCATCCACTGGGCAGCTTTCCTGGGTAGGTGTCGTGGTTTCACCCCGAGGCAGCCCCCAAACCCCTCAGAGCCGCTCGCCCGCTCCCCCACTGGCAGGATCGGGGAGAGAATTGGAGAGGTGAAAGCTGGAAAGCTGGTGGGTTGAGATGAAGGCAGTTTAACAGGGAAGGCAAAAGCTTCACACACAAGGGAAGAAAAGCAAAGAATTAATTCCCTGCTACCCATGGGCAGCTGGTGTTCAGTCACCTCCAGGAGAGCAGGGCCCCGTTGCAGGTAACAGTGACTTGGGAAGACAAACACCAGCACTCCAAATGTCCCCCCCACTTCCTCCTTCTCTCCCCACTTTCTTTGCTGAGCATGATGTCATATGGTGTGGAATATCCCTTGGCTCAGCTGGGGTCACCTGTCCTGGCCCCAAGCCCCTCCCAGCGTGGCCGTACAAGGGGCAGGAAAGGCCTTGGCTCTGTGTGAGTTCAGCAATAACAAAATCATCTCTATGTTATCAACCCTGGGTGTTCAGCACAAATGCAAAAGCACAGGCCCATTGCAGGCACTGGGAAGAAAATTACCTCTGCCCCAGCCCAAACCAGCACAGTGGGTTTTCCTCACAGGCATCACTCCAGTTTCCTCTCCCACACTGCTCCCTGTGGATTCACCTTTCGGGATGGAGGGGCTCCCCAGAGAACCTGTGTTTTCCGGGGTCCCTGGCTCTTACCACTGTCTCCTGGACAGGGCATTTGGAAGTTCTGAAGCTGCTGGTGGCCCGGGGAGCTGACGTGATGTGTAAGGACAAGAAGGGCTACACCCTCCTGCACACGGCGGCGGCCAGCGGCCAGATCGAGGTCGTGCGTCACCTCCTGAGGCTGGGGGTCGAGGTAAGACCCCCACAGCTGCTCAGGGTGCTGCTCAGGTGCAGGCCAGGCTGGAGACAGGAGCAGGAGAGGGTGCTGGGTGGCAGCTGGAGCTCAAGGTGGTTCTCACCTGCCTTTTTTCCTTCCTGAATCCCCAAATCCTCTGGACTTGGTTGCTCCCGCAGATCGACGAACCAAATTCCTTCGGTAACACTGCACTTCACATCGCCTGTTACATGGGCCAGGACGCCGTGGCCAACGAGCTGGTCAACGTCGGTGCCAACGTCAATCAGCCCAACGAGAAGGGCTTCACCCCCCTGCACTTCGCTGCCGTCTCCACCAACGGGGCCCTGTGCCTGGAGATCCTCGTCAACAACGGGGCCGACGTCAACTTTCAGGTCTGGAATCTTTGGGAGCAGGAGCAGGAGCTCACTGCCCGGGGCGGGAGCTCGGGGAGGCTGGTGGGGTGGCACTGGTGTGATGCTGGTTCTGCTCTCGCAGAGCAAGGAAGGGAAGAGCCCATTGCACATGGCTGCGATCCACGGACGGTTCACGCGGTCGCAGATCCTCATCCAGAACGGTGAGTGGCTGCTCCTCCAGCCCTGGGTTATCCCAGACTTTTCTTGTGCCTCCAGGGCCTCCTGGCGAGTCTGCTAAGGGGGTTTAAGACCTCTGCAGTCATCACTTAAACTCCTTCTGTGCCCTGGGATAATATCTACTTCCTAACATTCAATCTAAACCTCCCCTGGCACAGCTTGAGGCTGTTCCCTCGTCCTGTCTCTTGTTGCCTGGCTTCCCCCTCCTGTCAGGGAGTTGTAGAGAGTGAGAAGGTCCCCCCTGAGCCTCCTTTTCTCCAGAGGCTGGTGCTGGTGGCCCTGTGCTTCTTGGGGGTAGCAGGGACTGTTGTGCCCAAAGGCAGCAAAGTGCAGACCAGGGGACTGAAATTCCAGCCAGGTCAGAGCTGCTCCAGCCAAACAACATTCCCACTGCCACAGCCTGAAAGACAATATTCCTGTGAGAGGGCTCGGGGTTGGCAGACACCCCAGGGCTCAGCAGAGCCCTCCGGGGTGGGAACCATCCCCTCAGGGGGAAGGGGGGATCTGATGCCCAGGGCTTGCAGGGTACGGGTGGGCTCTGGGCTCCGAGAGCAGTTTGCAGTTCTCCTGCAGGATGCTGGGTGGACTGGAGGTGTCAGCCGTGTCCCTGGGATGGGAATGCAGGGTTGGAACAGCCCGGGCTGCTCGAGGCTGGAACGCTGGCAAAGCCCTTGGCTTTTCCCTTGCAGGCAGTGAGATCGACTGTGCTGACAAATACGGCAATACCCCCCTCCACGTTGCTGCTAGATACGGCCACGAGCTGCTAATTAGTACTTTGATGACGAATGGTGCTGACACTGCAAGGTAAGGCAGGTCCCTTCCTTCCTCCCCCTGCTCCAGACTGGAGGATGCAGCTATAGAATCACAGAATCATGGAATCATTAAGGTTGGAAGAGACCTCTAAGGTCATCAAGTCCAGCTGTCAACCCAGGACCGTGTTCACCCCAAACCATGTCCCCAGGTGCCACATCCATATCCCTTTGGAATGCTGCTGGGGATGGTGACTCCCCCACTTCCCTGGGCAGCCTGTGCTAGTGCCTTCACCTTTTCAGTGAAGAAATTTTCCCTATTATCCAACCTAAACCACCCCTGGCACAACCTGAGGCCGTTCCCTCTCGTCCTGTCCCTTGTTCTCTGGGAGCAGAGCCCGACCCCCACCCCCGGCTCCCCACTCCTGACAGGGAGTTGTGGAAAGCAAGAAGGTCCTCCCTGAGCCTCCTTTTCTCCAGGCTGAGCCCCCCCAGCTCCCTCAGTTTTCCAGCCCCTTCTCCTTCTTCTCCAGCCCCTTCCCCAGCTCCATTCCCTTCTCTGGACACACAGAATCCGTGCCCCACCCTGACTCCCTTCTCCTCTCCTTGCAGGCGTGGGATCCACGACATGTTCCCTCTGCACTTAGCTGTTCTCTTCGGATTTTCAGACTGTTGTCGTAAGCTACTTTCCTCAGGTGAGTGGCCCCGAAACCCTCCTGTGCCGGGGCACTGGGGTGACCCCCGAGCTCCCCGCTGACCCCCTGCCCCTCCTGCCCCCCAGGTCAGTTGTACAGTATCGTGTCCTCGCTGAGCAACGAGCACGTGCTGTCTGCAGGCTTCGACATCAACACGCCTGACAACCTCGGGAGGACTTGTCTCCACGCTGCTGCTTCCGGAGGGTGAGCGCTGCTGGGGACTGGGGCACGAGGGGGAGCTGGACCCCTGGGTGCTGCTCCCAGCTCCGAGGGAGGGCAGAGACCTGTTCAGAGCAGGAATGGAAATGGAAACCTCTCACAGAGCTGTCCTTCGGCATCGCAGCGCTGTCACCCTGCCCGGGTGATGGGGACGGTGACACAGAGACAGGAATCCTGGAGCTTTTTGGTAGCATAAATGCAGCCTGTCAGCTGCACTGATGTCTCTCTGTAATTACCTGGTTGGCTGGGAGCTCCATGCCGGGCGGGGAGCACAGAGGGTTATTTACTGGAGCAGGGAAGAGCTCTGTGTGTGCAGCATCAGCCACGGCTGCGGCTCCTGCGCTGCCCAGAGGTGACAAACCCGACTGAGCTGCGTCTGGGCTGGCTTGTCTGCACTGGGAGGAGTTTGCATTCCTGCTGTTTTCCTTTCTGATCTGTGCCTAAATCCTCTCCCCCCCTCCTGCAGGAATGTTGAATGTCTTAATTTGCTGTTGAGCAGCGGTGCTGACTTGAGGAGGAGAGATAAATTCGGGAGGTGAGTGTCCTGAAACAGCTGGAGCACAGCGAGCCTGGGTTTGGGATGGGACATTCACAGAATCCCAGAATCCTTGAGGTTGGGAAAGCCCTCCAAGACCATCGAGTCCAACCTGTGCCTGACTCCCACCTTGTCCCCCAGCCCAGAGCACTGAGTGCCACGTCCAGATGTTCCTTGAACACCTCCAGGGGCGGGGACTCCACCACCTCCCTGGGCAGCCCCTTCCAATGTTTAACAACCCCTTCCATGGAGAGATTCCTTCCGATGTCCTCAGACCTTTGCTGTGTCTGGATCACCCCTCTAACCCCAGGGGCCCAGCTCTGGTTCCTCAAAAGGAGCTGCAGCTCCAAACCCTTGAGCCAGAGCCGGACAAAGCTCAGCACTGGAGCGGGTGGGGGTGACTCCCCGGGTCCTGCCTTGCTGCTGGGTGAGTCTCCCCACCTGTGCTGATCCCCCTTGTCCCTTCCCCCTTTCCCAGGACTCCACTGCACTACGCAGCTGCCAATGGCAGCTACCAGTGTACGGTGACACTGGTGACGGCGGGAGGCAGCATCAACGAGGCCGACTGCAAAGGCTGCACCCCCTTACACTACGCTGCTGCCTCGGACACCTACAGGAGGTGACTGTCTGGGGGCCGGGGGTGGCACTGGGGGCAGTGGGGCTGGGTGGGGACACTCTGCTGTCCCCTGGCCGCCTCCCGCCGCTGGCACTTGGTGGGTTACGAAAAAGGGGGAGCCTGGGGGGGTAACCAACAAACTGATGGGGGTCTGTGGCCTTGCAGAGCAGAGACTCATTCAGGAAACAGCCATGACACTGACGAGGAGCCACTGAAGGAGTCCAGGCTGAAGGAGGCGTTCTTGTGAGTCCAGAATTGTGTAACTTCTAAAGTATTTCTAAACTTTTAACAGACACACCTTCTTGCAGCAAGTAGTTCTGCAGCTAATGATGTACTGCATGAAGAAGCACTACCTCTTCTCCCCTGGAATTTGCTCCCCTAGTTCCTGTGTTTGAGGAGAAGGCATAAGAACTGTGTTGGGTCAGAGCAAAGCTCAGTCTAGGCCCATGTTCTGTTTTCCACAACAGCCAGAGGTGGATGCTCAGAAGAGAGTATAAGAAGATGAATACATGGAATATATTACCTGACTGTCTTCCATCTCTTACCATGTCTTATTTTGCTCTGGGACACGGTGATTTGGTGTTTGCCCATTCCCATTTTGCTGGGAATCCCTCGCTCTGGAGCAGCAATGCCTCGGAGAGAGGAAACATCTGCTGATGTGATTCCCGGGGCAAACCTGGTCCTTGCTTCCAGTGGGCTTTGCGTTTGCTCCGTGTCCGGGTGGGGTTCGTACGGCACCTGCTCCGGGTGTTCCCACAGAGCTCTGCCTGTCCAGTCACTCCTCATCCTTCATCTCCCCTCTCCTGCTCGTTGCAGTTGTTTGGAGTTCCTGCTGGATAACGGTGCCGACCCCTCCCTGCGGGACAAGCAGGGCTACACCGCCGTCCACTACGCGGCCGCCTACGGCAACAGGCAGAACCTCGAGCTGGTGAGTGCCTGGGGGGACCCTCTGTGCTCCCAGGAACGGGGGCAAACGTGTCAAAGAACCTGTCACACCCGTGGTGCCCGGGTGTGGCTCCAGGAATGCGCGTTGTGGGCGCCACAGGGTTTGTCCAAGAGGTGGGGTTGGTCATGGGGACCTGGGGAGCTGTGGGAATGCCATGGAGGGAAGACCCGGGCTGGAGGGAGATGCCCGAGAGGAAGGAGCTGTGTTACCTGGCAGAGGCAGGTGTGTGGATTTCTTGGAGCTGCGTGGGCAGAGGAAATCAGGAAATCTTGGACTAGCAGGGACTTGCTGCTGCCTCTGCAGCACTCAGAGCCACATTAGGGAATGGCCCATCCTGAAATTCAAGCAGATGAGCAGGATTTCTGACCCCTCTGCAGCTGCTGGTGGACAGGGTGTCAAAGCCTCCAGGAGCCCAGGGCAGTTATGGATCACTTATGAGTTTGTCTTGTTGCTCTTGCAGCTCCTGGAAATGTCTTTTAACTGCCTGGAGGATGTGGAAAGCACCATTCCAGTCAGCCCTTTGCACTTAGCTGTAAGTATGGCTGGGGGGGCTCCTGCTGTGTCCTGGAGAGGTGCCCAGGGTGGTCTGGGCTCCTGCTGTGTCCTGGAAAGGTGCCCAGGATGGCCGGAGCAGGGAAGGTGTCGGTGGTGGGGGAGCAGCTTCTCCACAGGCCATTGGTCAAAGGCCTTTAGTTTGTCTGTTAAACTCTGATCTTTCCAGGACTTTCTGGGTGCTGCTGTTTGGAGTGTGGGCAGGGGTGCGAGTGGGCAAGGGTTTTGAGTAGAACCCAAATGCAAAGGAGGCCCAGTGGCTGGGCAGGATTAGCCCTGTCCTGAGAGGCTCAGGGGCAGGAATTATCCCTGGGGGACGCTTCTGGGTGCCTGGGGGAGACAGCTCTGGGTGCCTGGGGGGCACTCCCGGGCACAGCCCCTGCAGACACTGCTGCAACATGGTCTGCCTTGTCCCAGGCCTATAATGGTCACTGTGAAGCCCTAAAGACACTTGCTGAGACCCTGGTGAACCTGGACGTGCGGGACCACAAGGGCCGGACAGCGCTGTACCTCGCCACCGAGCGGGGATCCACCGAGTGCGTGGAGGTGCTCACCAGCCACGGCGCGTCCGCGCTGGTCAAGGAGAGGAAGAGGAAGTGGACCCCTCTCCACGCTGCAGGTGAGGGAGGGCAGACGGGGCAGGGAGCGTGACCGGGGCCCGTTGGTGCCATCGCGGCCGAGGATGCCCCGTCACCCGGCTGCTGTTTGGGGTGAGGGAAGGGGCACCAGCCCCTCCCTTTGGTTTTGGGGGCCCACCCGTGCTTGTGGGTGACTCCTTTCCTCGTCCCTGTCTCCAGCTGCCAACGGGAACACGGATTCCCTGCACCTCCTGATAGACAGCGGGGAGCGGGCGGACATCACCGACGTCATGGACATCCACGGCCAGTGAGTCTGTCTGGGTGTTCCTTTGGGGTCTGTGTGGCACAGGTGGGAGAGGCAGGGGAGAGAGGGAATACTCAGACCTGGCTGATTTCCAAGCCCACCCTCCTCCCTGCTGCCTTTCCCCCCCCAGAACCCCGCTGATGCTGGCAATCATGAACGGCCACGTTGACTGTGTCCATCTCCTGCTGGAGAAGGGATCCACGGCTGACGCAGCGGACAAGAGGGGAAGGACTGCCCTGCACCGAGGGGTGAGTGTGTCCCTGGGGGCCCTGGAGCTGCTGCTTGGCCTCCTGTGTGGAGGCTGCTCGGAGGCCAGGCCGCTGGTTTCTTTGTTTGCAAGAGTCCCCAGGGAAAGTGCCCGAATTCCTTCCAGACACACAACACTCGAGAAGGAAACTGTGGAAGAAAGGTGTTCATGTGTTGTTAAATGATTCCAGGGGTGGGATCTGACCCTCTGGTCCTCTCTCCTGGCCACAGGCTGTGACAGGCTGTGAGGATTGCCTGGCTGCTCTGCTGGACCACGATGCCTTCGTCCTGTGTCGGGATTTCAAGGGCCGGACCCCGATCCACTTCGCCTCGGCGTGTGGGCACCTGGAAATCCTGCGGACCCTGCTGCAGGCAGCCCTCTCCACTGACCCCCTGGACTCCGTGGTGGACTACAGCGGCTACTCACCGATGCACTGGGCTTCTTACAGTGGTGAGGAGGGGCTGGGGGGGACCAGGGAGAGCCTCCCCCTGCTTTGGGAGCCATGGGCTCAGCGCTGACTTCCTGCTGGAGAGGATGGCACAAAGCTGGGAGGGAGTTTTTCTCTCCCTACCAAGCCCCTTAAAAAAGGATCAAAATAGGAAAGGAGCTATCCCAGAAGAGCTGAGGCTGGTTCCTCCAGGATGCTGGATTTATAGGATGATTGTGGGGAGGTGGGACTGGAAGGGACGTCCCTGTTCCAGAGGGAAGCCAGGGATGTGGCTGTGACTCCTTCAGGAGATGTGTGGAATTAGAAACCTCCTGAAGTGCAGCAGCTTTGCTGCCAGTGAGGAAATGGACCTGTTGCCTCTGTGCTGGGGACTGGGAGTGTTTGGGCACCTTGTCTGAGCCTGTGGCTCCTTGGGCAGCTCTTTGGCACTGCTGAGGCCCCTCCAGTGCTGTGTCCAGTTCTGGGCCCCTCTCAGCAGGAGAGACACTGAGGGGCTGGAGCACGTCCAGAGCTGGGAACAGAGTTGGGGAAAGGGCTGGAGAACAAGGAGAAGGGTCCAGGAAGGACCCACAGGCCGAGTGCTGACACATTTCTGTCCCTCTCTCCTCAGGGCATGAAGATTGTCTTGAATTGTTACTTGAACACAACCCGTTTGCGTACCTAGAAGGAAACCCCTTTACTCCATTGCACTGTGCAGTGTAAGTGACACCTGGGACCTGCCCCAGGTCCTTCCCAGCCCCGTGATGTGGGACTGGGGATTTGTGGTGCAAGTGGAGGAGCTCCAAACCCTGCCCCCCTTGCCAAGGGCTCCGTCCTGGGCAGCAGCAGCAGCAGGGGAGGGGAGAGGAAGGGGGAGAACAGGGTGGGCCTGGGGTGTCCTTGGGACCTGGGGCAGCAGAGGGATGGGCAGGGCTGTTGTGAAGGGGTGTTTTACCCCAAACAATTCCAGAGCAGCTGCTGTTTGTGTCAGAGCCCCAGGAATGTGCTGCTCAATCCTGTTCTAACTTCCCTTCTCATCCCCCCTCAGAATTAACAACCAGGATGGCACTGCTGAAATGCTGGTGGAAGCATTAGGTGCCAAGATTGTTAATAGCAGAGATGCCAAAGGAAGGTGAGCTCACACTCATCCCCGGTGCTGCTGTGCCTCCCTCAGTGACTTCCACATGATCTCCCCTGGCTCCAAGGGGCTCTGCTGCCCCCAAACACCCCGAGGTGGGTGCTGTGCCCTCCTCTTGACCTGCTTTTTGTGTCTTCCCAGGACACCCCTTCACGCTGCTGCCTTTGCAGACAACATCCATGGTTTACAGCTGCTCCTGCGGCACCAGGCCGAGGTGGACACGGCGGACAAGCTGGGCAGGACCCCCCTCATGGTGGCTTCTGAGAACGGGCACACGGCAGCAGTGGGTGCGTGCTGGGCTCCCCAGGGTGGGCTGAGAGGCTCCCTGTGGCTCCTCCAGGAGCAGATCCCGTGGGAGCAGGGCTGTCCCTCTCCTCACAGGCACACTGGGGCGTTGCTGGGCTCTGTGTGGCTTCCTCTCACCAGCACCTCTCCTTCGTTTCAGAGTTCCTGCTGTACCAAGCAAAAGCAAATATAACTGTGCTGGATGTCAACAAGAACACAGCTCTTCACCTGGCCTGCAGCAAGGTAGGGAGATGGCTGGGGTTGCTGTCACTGTCACCTTGTCAGCTTCATGAGAAGGGTTGTCCCCCTACTCGTGCCCCACAGAGCAGATCTGAGGGCCCCAGGCCTGCCCTGACACACCTGGGTGGGTTTTGAGCAGCTCAGGTAGCACAGACCCATCTGTATTTTCCTTGGGGAGCCCCTCTCTGAGTTTCCAGGATCACTTCCATCCCTGGCAGTGTTCCAGGCCAAGTTGGATGGGGCTCTGAGCAACCTGGGCTAGTGGAAGGTGTCCCTGCCCATGGCAAGGGGTGGAACAAGTTGATCTTTAAGGTCCCTTTCAACCCCACCCATTCCACGATTCCGTGGTGGGAGCAGGAGGCTCGTGGTCAGTGGGTCCACACCGAGGAGGAGGTGGAGGGGGCAGCAGCTTGTGCCCTCCAGCCCTGCCCAAGGGACCCGTGTTAGAGGGTTGGGTTTAGGGAACGTTTCCGTATCCCAGGGAATCCTGCACTAAACCCTCGGGTCTCCTTCCCAGGGCCATGAAAAGTGTGCCTTGTTGATCCTGGGGGAAACCCAAGACCTTGGCCTTATCAATGCAAGTAACAGTGCTCTGCAGATGTGAGTATTTGCCCAGCTGGTGCCCCTGGGACGGCACCAAAGGGGCTTTGCTGGGAGCGGGGGCAATACCTTGGGAAAGGCGGTGGGAGCTGGGCTCCCGCTCTGGGAGCAGGTGAGCTCAGAGCAAAGTGCCTGCCCTTGGAGCCGCTCCCAGGGCCCTGTGCTCTGGCACGAGGTGCCCCAGGCAGGTGTCTCTGCCAGCGGGTTCATCCCACTTCTCCCTCTCCCCAGGCCGCTCCACATCGCGGCGCGGAACGGACTGGCCTCCGTCGTGCAGGCCCTGCTCAGCCGCGGGGCCACCGTGCTGGCTGTGGATGAAGAAGGTGGGTGTCCTGGGGGCCCCGGGGGGGCTCAGCATCCCTGGGAGGTGGGGGATGCCCAGGAGCTGCTCAGCCAGGATCAGGATTTCTCAGCAGCTCGTGGCGTGGCAGACGTGGCCTGGGGAGGACAGGAGCACGCGCCACTCCCTGTGAAAGCATTTCCAGGTCTCACAGGTGTTCAAAATGTGGGTTTTTTCCCCCCTGTGCACCATCTGGTGCTCCCTGGCTCCTGCCAGGCCCCAGCCCATCTGTGACTCACTTCCACCTTGGCAGAAGCTGCTGGTTGTGGCCAGAAGCTTTTTCTCCCGGCAGAGCAGGAATCCCTCCGAGCTGTGGTGAATATCCCAGGGTCTGCCGGGTGCTCCCGAGCCTGTGGTGAATATCCCAGGGTCTGCCGGGTGCTCCCGAGCCTGTTTGTTCATCTCCTGCTGGTCCTGCCACACTTCGGAGTGGTTCCTGCAATCACAGGGATTGACAGTGCCCAGAGGGGTCTGTTGAAATATTGGATAATTGAGATATTGGTAAAGACAAAGAGATCAAGTTGTGGCTGCCCCATCCCCGGGAGTGTCCAAGGCCAGGCTGGATGGGACTTGGAGCAACCTGGTCTAGTGCAAGGTGGTGTCCCTGCCCCTGGCAGGGGGTTTGGAACTGGATGATGTGTGAGGTCCCTTCCCCCCAAACCATTCCATGATTCTGTGTCCTGGCCCCCATCAAACAGCCCCGACTGCAGCATTCCCAGGCCCTTCCTCACCCCCGCCTTCGTTCCAGGTCATACCCCAGCCTTGGCATGCGCTCCCAACAAGGACGTTGCCGACTGCCTGGCACTTATCCTCTCCACCATGAAGCCTTTCCCACCTAAGGACGCCATCAGCTCTTTCAGCTTCAACCTCCTCAAGAACTGCGGCATCGCGGCCAAGACGGCGGCGTGCGGGGCCCTCCCCAACGGCAGCTCCTGCCCCTACACCAAGGACCGGCACAACGCCATCGGCCTGGACGGCTGTTACTCGGAGTAGCTTAAACTATGGGTGACCTAATATCTTATTATATTTATTTAGAAATTCTATAAATATAGGGCACTTTAAAGGAGAACAAGACTGGGCAGGCCAAGCGTGGCCCGGCGGGCCAAGAGTTCGGCGCTTTCCCCCTCTCGCCGGGTGCCGGTGCGGTGCCAAAGCTGTTCCTGGCAGTGCCCTTCCCATCCCCTGCCCCTTCCCAATCCTCTCTGTCCCCTCGGTGGCCGGGCAGGAGGCGGAAGAGGCAGGATTTGGGCTGGGACAGGGCAGGTGCCACCACCCACCGCTGGTTTCCCCCCGGCCTGCAGGGTGGGGTGAAGCCGCTCCCGGTGTTTCCCGGTGCCCTGTGCCAGCCTCCCGCCCTGCTGGGATGCCCCCGGGGCTACCATCCGGCCGGGACGGGGAAGCCTGAACTCTTGGTGGGACGGGGGGTGGGAATTTGGGACTGGCTGGCCGGGGTGGGGGTCAGCTCCTGGCCAAGTGCCGCTGTCACTGCTCCTCTCGGAGTCGCTCTTTCCTCCTCTCATCCTTTGAGTCCAAACACTTGAACCAAGATCTACTGTACCTGGGGACACTAAAATATCCTTTTGGCAGCTCATTTCTAGGGAAAAACGGGTGCTGCTGCCCGAGCCCGGCCGCGGATGCGCCACTGGAGCCTCCTCCCCACACCAGGCACTTTAGGGATTCTGTTGGTTGTTGGTTTTGATTTTTTCCTTGGCAAATTGTCAGATCCTAAAACGATTCTGCTTTGAGTTTCCCTTCCCTGGTTTGTGTGGCTGTTTCCATGCGAGAGTCAGTGTTGGCTGGTTGTTTTTTTAAAAAGAGATGAGAATTATTTATAGAGAAACGAACATTTACCTTTAAAAAACAACAAAAACCATAAAAAAAAAAAATCAATGTTTTAGCCTTTACTAAGGAAACAAATGCACTTCTGAGTCCTTATTCACAACCCTGAGTAAGTCTGTGTTGCTTTTTCGGATGCAGCATCCTGGCAGGTTTCGTGGCACGTGTGGATGTGGGTGGGATCGTTGTTTTTTGGTTTGGGTTTTCCTTTTTTCCTTTTTTTTTTTTTTTAATTTTAGAAATCCTGTTTATGCTGCAGGTTTGAAGCATTCGAGAATGTTGCACTGTTGTTTTTTTCCGTTGATTTTTTTCTTTTGTTGTTGTTTTTCCTTCTGAATTACTGTAACAGTATCAAAAAACAATGTTTTCCTCCATACCACGAGTCTGTTCAAAGCCAAAGACGGGGATGCAGAGACCGGGAACGGGCTGGAATTTTGGGAACCACCGTCCCCCCCGAGCTCCTCTCCCACTGCAGCCGGGCCCACACGGGGAGCACGAGGCTGGGGCCGCCCTGGGGGTGTCCCAGTGTGATCCCCCCGGGATGGGAGCAGGGATGAGAGCACCCCTGTCTCCCACAGAGCCCGTGACGGGACTGAGCGAGCCCTGAGAGTGTCAGAGAGAAAAGGGCATTTCTGTAACCAAAATTGCTTCTTTTTTTTTGTCTTTTTTTTTAATGACTTCTAAATGAAGGTGGCTCCTGTCAGGGAGGAGTGTCAGGTGTAGGTTGTGGAGTGGAGCCGACCATTCCCGGGAGAGCTCCCGGGGGACACTCCCGGCCCCCACGGGCAGGATCCCCTCGCACTGTTTCTTTCTTTTTACCAAAGCCAAACTCTTAGAACCAAATATGAAGTTTCAGTCTTGGCCTTTGGGTGATAAGCACATTTTCTTGGCGTTTCCCGGAGGAGTTTGTCCCAGAGGGGGGAGCGGGACCGGGGCCCTCCCGGTGCTCCTGCTCCCCATCCCGCACTTGGCTCAGCAAAGCACTCAACAGATTTGCCCTTGGTGAGATCTTGGAGCCAGGGCCAGGCACTTCTGAGGGGCAGAGCTCTGCCTGCCCCAGGGGGATCTTCCCTTTGGATCCCCTCCTTTTAGGACAGTATCCCCAGCGTGTCCCCCTCCTCACTCCCCTCGAGCTTGAAAGGAAGCGTTGACCTTTCTGCACCGGATACCTCAGTTTGGAACCAGAATGAACTCACGAAACTTGAATCAAAAGATCCTTTTGGAAGATCCTTTTCAGTATTCTACGGAGGAGAACTGGAAACAGAGACTTGTTTACATTGCTGGCGAATCCGCACTCGCCTCTTGCAGCTCTTTCCCTTTCTGGGAGGAATTTAAGCATCACTTTATCTCCTGGCTGCTTCCCTCCCCCTTCCCACGGGGCAGGAAAGTGGGGCCAAAGTCCTGAGCCGTTGCCTTCAAGGGCTAAAGTGCTTTTCCAGGCACATGGAGGGGCCGAGGCGCTCCCGGCCGGGCAGCGGTTCCCGGGCTCAGGGATCGGTCGGAGCGGGGCTGTGATGCTCCATCTCCGTGGAATCCGTCCCTGCCCCGGGAGGGCCGTGGCCGTGCCCCTCGTGCCGTGGCCCTCGGTGTGGCCTCATGGCTGTCGGGAGACGGGATCCGGCACCATTTCACTTGAACGTGGCTTTTCCCACCGTTCCGTAGAGCACACGGAAAATGCTGCTTTTCCTTCACCCCCCCCAGCCCCCCTCCCTGTGTTTTGGAGTATTGTTGTGGTTTTCAGTTCCTTTGCTTAGAGGAGAAAGCTGATCCTTCTTTTGGCCTTGTTGCCGTGCTCTGACGTGTCCCCTCCGCTCAGCGACGCCGAGACAATCAGTGTGATCTCCGTAAGGGCTTCTCCATCCTTTGCCACGCTTTGTGTCCTTCCCTCTTAGCCAGGAGCTTTTTCTCCCCTCCCCTGTGTCTTCTTAAAAGTAGTAGTAATAATAATAATAATAATAATGATAATAATAATGAGAATGGAGGGAAACGAGGTTCCAGCGGCGCATCCGTGGTCTGGGAGCAGAGGGGAGGGAACGGGGTGGGAAGGGGACGTGTGGCCTTGGGGGTCCCAGTCTTGTTCTCCTTTAACGCTGTATCGTATCGTTGACAGCACAGCTTGACAATTTAAGTAATAATCAAAGTGTTTGGTAATAATGCATTATTTTGCTAAACGAGATTTGTGATGGTTTCCCTGGTGCATTGTAAAGAGGGATGGAGGGAAACTTCCGCTGCCCTGCCCGCTCCCCCCTTCCCAGCCCCTCGTGGGCTCCCAAACCTTCTTCCCTCGGACCTTTATGCCAAAGTTGGACCATTCCCGCTCAGTTCTGCCCCTCCAAGCAGCGAATTTTTCGGCTTTTCCCACCTCAATCTGATCAATCTCTTGGTTTGGAACACGCAGGCACCGGATCTCCGTCCCCTTCCCTGTCCCAGCCTCTGGAAAAAGGAAGTTTCTCTCCTCCCCCTTGGTCCAAAGCACTTGCTTCAAGTAATAAGCACTTTTGTTAAAGCATGAGTCTGGATTCCCTTTAGCATCCCACGGGATAGAGAGCAGCGCGAGGGATACGAGAGTGTCTTTGGCTTTATTTTTTCAGTTGGAATTTAAAAAAAAAAAAAAAGTTCGTTTCTAGGGAATGAGTGGACAAAGGGAAGTTGTGTTTTGAGAGAGAGAGAGAAAAAAAAAAACTAAAAAACCTAAAAAACAAACAAACAAAAAAAAACCAACCCAACAGCACAAGTACATTTCAAGTCCCCGGGTGTTTTTGCACTGCCATTGCCCGAGCGAGGGGCTCCGGCCCCCTGAGCCATAGACCCTCTGACAAACACTGAATGTACCGGGCTCGGCCGTTCCCGGCGTCCCCGACGGAGCCCCAGTCCCTGAGCGAGGAGGAGAAGCCTGGGGGGTGTCTTTGTTGTCGCTGTTCCCCAGCTGCAGGCACTTGGAAACTTAGTTCTTTGGGGAAATGTGTCCCCTGTCCCGCTCCTGTCCCCTCCCTCTCCCACCCCTGTTCCCTCTCCCACCCCTGTCCCCTCCCTCTCCCATCCCTTCCCCACTCCTCTCCTGCTCTTTTCCCACCCTTCTCCCATCCCTTTCCCCTCCCTCTCCAATCTCTCTCTCTCCCTCCCATTCCCTCTTCCATCCCTCTCCCCTCCCTCCCTCTCCCGGACGGAGCGAGGATCCCCCTCCCCAAACTCAGATGAGCAGCCCCACCGGCCCCATCCCGGGGCTGGAATCCGGCAAATAAAACAGTAGCACTAAAAGCCAAGCGAAAAAAAAAAATAATCTCCAAACTCGTGGAATAAGTTTTGGTTTTGTTTCTGTTTGGGTGTTGGGAGCACCTGGAGCGTGGCGGGGTCTGTGCAGATCCCAGTCCCCGGCTCGGGGGGAGGAACAAGGAAAACCCAAAACAAGGAACGCGGAGTCCCAGGAAACAACCTTTTTTCCTTGATTTTATCCTGACGTTCCGTGGGGCCTGAGGAGCCCCCCTGTCTCCCTGCCAGCACCCCCCCGGGGCCCTCCGGGTGGGAACGCCGGGGTCGGATCCGTGCAGCCCACGCTCACCTTTGCCTTCAGTGAGAAACCAAAGGAAAAACCAGCCCCTTCCAGAGGATCCCGGCGCGGATTCCTTGGTTCGGGCTTTTGTTTCTTTTTCTTTGCCTTTTTTTTTTTTTTTCCCCTCCCTCCTTTTCTTTCTGTTCTTTGTTTTTCTCCAAGGACACAAGGAGCTCTTCAATCCTCTTCTCCTGGCTGGAATTTTCTGGGCTCGGCAGTGAAAGGAGATTAAACCCCTCCCCGCCCCCCAAAAAAAAAAAAAAAGCCGAGACTCAACCGAAGCATCATCGGGAGCTCCGGGTAACGTACCCGCGGGGTGGGAGCGCCCCGAGGGGAGCAGTGGCTCTGGAGCTGCCCTGAAATCCTTGGAATTGCGGCGCGAGGCTGGAGGGGACGGAGCCGGAGCCCCCGCGGGGCGGTCGGGGATGGGGGGACGCGTCTCTTAAGGCATCTGTAGCAACTCTGTGTCTTTAATATCCTCCGTGTCAATGCTGCACCTCTGTATGCACATAAATGTTCCTTTGGTGGCGACAGGACAAACCTCATCACCTGTCAGGTACAGCCGACTCCTCCATGTCCCGGCCTCCGCGGCCCCGGGGCCTCGTCCCTCTTCCCGTGCTGGGGGGAGAAAGAGGGGGAAGAGAAAAAAAAAAAAAAAAAAAAAAAAGAGGAAAATAGCCTTACTCGACCCAGTCGTATCGATATTGTTCGTCAACTTGAAAATAATAAAGGAAACGCATGGAAACCTCCGGCTGAGCCGCCGCGGCCTGGGTGTGGTGTTTGCAGAACCGGGGTGTGAGGGGCCTCCTGCTGCTGTTCCCGGGCTCCTCCGGCTCCTCTGGAGCTGCCGATGGGCCTGGGCCTTCCTCCTGTCCCTTCTTTTTCCTTCTCTGAGCCCTTTGGGAGCGGGTTCCTGATGGCTTGGACAAAACTCCCGGTTCTCTGGGGCTCAGCACTCGGATTTCAGGGGTTGTTGGCGTCGGAGCCGGGGGGTGCCAGGGGTCCCACCGTGCTGCTCTGCCCACTCACAGCCCTGTGCTGGTTGCCCTGGGAATGAGAATGGAGCTTTCCCAAGCTCTGCCTCGGCTGAGGACGTGGATGGAGCCCCTGGTTGGGTGGAAGGAGAGGCCAGAGGCATGAGGGGTCTGGGACCCCGAGCGGTCCCACTCCTGCTGTGAGACAGGGTCCCAGCCCCCCAAAAGGGTCCCAGCCCCCCAGAGGGATTCCAGCCCTCCCAGTCCTGCTGTGGGAGGGGGTCCCAGCCCCGCTGTGGAATGGGTCAAGGGCTCCAGGCATTCGGTCCTGGCAGCATCTTTCTGAATTTTGCACTGTGTGAAGTGTGACCAGTTTGGGGGGGGGTGCAGAGCAGGGCACGGGTCGGTCACAGAGGGCTCGACCCCTTTCCTGCCACCTTCTCCCCATCCCATGGGTGCTCCAGGTCTGACAGTGGAAAACATCCCGGAGAACATCCCGGGTAACATCCCTGCTGGGCTGTGTTTGGTGCCTTCCTGCTCCCGGGGGCAGTGGTGGCTCCTGCCCCCCCAGTGTCCGGTGCAGGGGACATCAGTGTGACATGGAGGGGCTCGGGGTGTCCCTGTCCCGCTCCTCAGGCACCCCTGGAAGACCCTGCAGAGTGTGAAGCCCACCCTGGCCCCCCGTGGGGCTGGGCTGGGACATCAACCACCTGTGATTGTCCCCCCGGATTTGGCTGTTCAGACCTTTGCAGGGAGTGGAGCTCAGCATTCCCTGGAAAGGGCCTGAGCTGGTTCCCCTCCCAGCTCCAGAGCCCCAGTGTGAGCCCACCCTCCCGGCTCCCCCGAGCCTCCTGAGCAGTTACTTTTTTCTCAGATGTTCCATATCTGTATTTTCAGAAATCCTGCATCACCTTCGGGGAGGAGGAAGGAGAAGGGAGGGGAGGGAAAGGAACTAAAAAGATACTGAAAAGGGGGGGGAAAAAAGACAAAAGCATTCAGACTTGATCTATTTTCTACCGTGTGAGCTGCAACCAAGTCCTGTTCTTCGTATTGTGGCTTTGAATCAATTATGTTTATTAAAATGCTATTGCTTCTACGGGCTGTTGTCCTTCCTCTGCCTGGTCTGGGAGGACGGGAAGGGGAACAAGCTTGGATTCAGCCCCGGAGCCGGGTGTGTGAGCACCCCAGTGCCCCCACCCAGGGGGGCTGAGGGGACCCCCGAGTCCCACCCCACAGGGCTGAGCCTGAGGCTCCCGAGGCAGCGGATGCCGCTGAGGGTCTTCAGGAGGTGAAAAAATCCGGTCCTGGGGGCACGTTGGGGGTCCTGCCATCCGGTCCTGGCCCCGGCCGAGCCCCTCAGAGCTGCAGCCAGGCGCGGACGTGCCCCTCGGCCAGGGCGATGCCCAACATGATGCCACTGCCCAGCAGGAACCCCGCGTTCTGCAGGAGGAAGCGGCTCCAGGTGCCCTCGCCGGGGCCCTCGGCGGCTCCTCGCAGAGCCTCGGGGAGCTGGGGCAGAGCGGGGGCTCAGCAGGAGGCTCCCACCCCCCGGACAGCCCGGACACCCCCGGACAGCCCGGACAGCCCCGGACACCCCCGGACACCCCCGGACAGCCCGGACAGCCCCGGACACCCCGGACAGCCCGGACACCCCCGGACAGCCCGGACACCCCGGACAGCCCCGGACAGCCCAGACAGCCCGGACACCCCGGACAGCCCCGGACACCTCGGACAGCCCCGGACAGCCCTGGACACCCCGGACAGCCCAGACAGCCCCAGACACCCCCGGACAGCCCGGACACCCCCGGACAGCCCAGACAGCCCGGACAGCCCGGACACCCCCGGACAGCCCGGACAGCCCCGGACACCCCCGGACAGCCCGGACAGCCCGGACAGCCCCGGACAGCCCGGACAGCCCGGACAGCCCCGGACAGCCCGGACAGCCCGGACAGCCCCGGACAGCCCCGGACAGCCCCGGACACCCCGGACAGCCCAGACAGCCCCAGACACCCCCGGACAGCCCGGACACCCCCGGACAGCCCAGACAGCCCGGACAGCCCGGACACCCCCGGACAGCCCTTACCATGTCGGCCAAGGCCACGTAGAGGAAGATGCCGGCGGTGGCGGTGAGGACCCAGGGGGTGAGGGGGGTCCCGCTGTGCCCCACGGCCACCCCCGCGACCACGCCCAGGCAGGAGAGCAGGGCCGAGAGCAGGTTGAGGAGCAGGACGGAGCGGGGGGCGGTGCCCGCCCGCAGCAGCACCGCCAGGTCACCTGCGGGCAGAGCGGGTGGGTGGGTGGGTGTGGGGGGAGCTGAGGGGCTGCCGGGGGCAGGGGGAGCAGCATTTACCCAGCTCGTGAGGCAGTTCGTGGCAGAGCACGGCCAGCGCCGTGCTGAGCCCGCTGGAGAGGCTGTGGGAGAAGGCGGCACCTGCGGGAAGAGGGTCCTTCACCCCGGACCTGCAGGGACCCCGTGCCCTGTGCACCCCCCGCCCCCTGTCCCTGTGCCCGCCTGTCCTCCTGTCCCTGCTGCACTCTGCACCCCCTGCCCCCTGTCCCTGGGCACCCCTCCGTGCCCGTGTCCAGCTCTCCCCCCTCACCGATGGCCAGCCCGTCCGTCAGGTTGTGGATCCCGTCCCCCAGGACCACCATCCACACGATGTCGGTGGCCCCGGGGCTGAGGGGCAGCGCGGGGCCGTGGGAGTGTCCGTGGGGGGGCCCGTGGGGGGATTCCCGGGGGGGTCCGTGGGGCCTCAGCTCCAGCTCCGGGTCCGTGTCTGGTGCCCTGAGGTGTCTCAGCTCGGCCCCTGCGGCGGGACGGACACGCGGTGGGTGCCGGGGCCGGGGGCTGTGGGCACTGTGGGGCACGAGGGGGGGTTGTACCTCCTCGTGACGGTGCCAGGACCCCCGCGGCCACACCGGGGGTCTCTCCATGGGGGTGCCCCTGTGAAGGAACCGAGGTGTTGGGTACAAAGCCGGACCTGGTGGCAACCCCGTCGCCTGCCCCGTGCCCGTGGCTCTCACCGTGGCCTCCCGCCTGCGCCGCAGCATCCCCAGGAGCAGCTCCAGCAGGAAGAGCAGGTAGATGCCCCCCAGCACCGCCAGCCCCTGCAGCACCGCCGGCCCCGGCCCCGACAACGTGTCCTGGTGCCCCCCCTGGGCCTGGACAGGGGTGACCCAGCGGGTCAGGGGACCCCGACACCCCGGTGTCCCCCAGGGTGCCACCTCCCCTCCAGGGGGGTGGGGGTACCTACGTGGGGCCAGAGGTGGAGCAGGGCGTCCCCACAGAGTGTCCCCACGGCCAGGGCCACCAGGAAGGCCAGGAGGGAGCGGAAGAAGCTGCGGCTCAGCAGCGGGACCAGGAGGACGGCCAGGGCGGACGGGAGGCTGACGGAGGCCACGGCCAGGAGAGCCCAGCCCAGCGCTGTGGGGAGGGTCAGGGGGCACGGCAGGAGCAGGGGGGCACGGGGAGGGGGTGTGGGGATGGGGGGGCCTTGGGGATGCAGGGGTGGGGGTCTTTGGGGATGCGGGATGGGGACCCCAGGGAGGTAGGGATGGGGACCTCAGGAATGGGGACCCCAGGACCAGGAGTGTGGGGTGATGGGAATCTGGGGCTGGGGATTGTGAGGGGGGAGCACTTGGGGTTGGAGGGACGGTCATTGTAGGGATGGGGTTGGAGGGATCCAGGGATGGGACTGAAGTGACAGGGGACCTGGGAAGCCAATGATGGAGGAGCCAGGGATGGGAATGCACGGAGAGGGTCCACAGGGTCCATCTGATGGGAGACCAGGGGCTCAGGGTGCAGGGACAGGGGGACCAGATGCTCGAGGAACCAGAGATGGGGCTACAGAGATGGGGGGCACGGAGATCAGACACTGGGGCACGTGGGGATGCAGCAATGGGGTGACAGGCTGTGGGGGACCCGGGGACAGACAACCTGGGGCCGGGGGCCTGGGAGGGGTTACCCCGGGTTGGGGTTACCTGGCCACAGGCCCCCCCCCGGGGGAGGCAGCGTCACCTCATCGCTGTGCTGGATGCAGACGCGGCTGTCGATCTGGTAGAGCAGGGCCGGGCACAGGAGGGTGAACTGCTCCGGCGTCAGCTGCGACGCCGAGTCCAGCCCGAAGTTCACCAGCAGTTGGGTCACGTTGAGGCACTGCAGGGCCGGGGGGCTGCGGTGAGCGCTGCTGGGGGGTCCCGGGGGGACGAGGAGCAGCCGGGGGCCCCCCAGGCTCCCGGGATGTGGCAGCGGAGAGGGACGGTGAGACCCCCCCCGCCCCACTCACGTCGTCGTGCGGGTGGTCGGCGCTGGAGTGCTCCAAGCCCAGGACCCTCCCCAGCAGGCTGAGGGTGGGCTGGTACTGCCGGGGGGGGCCCCCAGCGCCGGGGGGCTCGGTGGGCACCGGCTTTGCCCAGCTTTGTGTCTGGGAGGGCGGGGGGCTGCGGGAGACCGGGGCGATGAGCCCCCCATCACGCCGGGGTGTGGGGCAGCCCTCCCGGGGGCCGGGGGGGAACCGGGTACCTGTGGGGTCGGTCGGTCGCTGGGGCGCCGGGAGCCGCGTCCCCGCCGTGCTCCCAGACCGGGTGCCGGTGCCGGTGCTTCTCCTCCTGCACCTCGAGCAGGTCCAGGTGACTGACGTGGCCGTGGCCCAGCTCCTCGTGCTGGATCTGGACCACCTGGACGCGGCCCAGCCCGAGGCTGCCCAGCAGCCGCGCCAGCCCCTCGAAGGGCAGGGTCCCGTTGGCCCCGTACTGCCCGAAGAGCTGCTGCAGGTAATACCCGTGCTCCTGCTCCTCGGGCAGCGGCCCCGGGGGCTCCGGCGTCCCCCCGACCCCCAGAGCCAGGAGGAGCCCCAGGAGGAGCCCGGGGGGGCCCATGGGGCCGGATCCCGGGGGCGGCGGAGCTGGGGGAGGAGGGGGACACCGGGGTGAGGGTGGTGGGAGCTGTGGTGGGCGCAGACCCCCTGCCCGTGGGCGCCTCCCGGGATGTGGGTTCCCCCCAGGTGGCCCCCGGCTGCGCTTTCCTGCCACCCGTCCGTCTGTCTGTCCGCAGGGAAAGCGACAGGCGGCACCAGGGTCACCTCCCGGGACACGTGTCCCACCCCAGGGCTCAGGGACACCCCGGGCAGCGGGGCCGGGACGAGGGGTGCTGCCCCTGTGCCCCCCGAGGGCTCCCGAGGTGGGAGAGGGGGGTGGTGGGGACAATGCTGTGGGGGGACATGGTGACCCTCGTCCTCGAGGGGAGGTTTTGCAACGGGGGCAGGTTTTGTGAGGGAGTTAATGTTTCACCAGGCGGGAGATAAAGCCCTCGGCACCCCCGGCTCCCTCCTCACACCCCCACCCCACCACCCACAGCCCCACATCCCCCCACCGGCTCCCCCCTTCCCAGCAGGGACACGGGACAGGCGCACGTGGAGATGGGATGGTGGGATGGCCGCCGTCCTCCCACGTGGGGCCAGGCCGTGATGGAAAATCCTGGGAGCCAGCGCCCCACCGACCCCCCCACGGCCCCGCGGGTGCCCCCTCCCCCTCCCCGGAGCCCCCCCCCGCCCACCCACGTGGGTCTCATTGTCCCCATCACCACCCCACTCGTGGGACCCCCCCAGGCGCGGCGCTGGCATCGCCCGTGTCCCCCCGGGACCCTCCCGTGCCCACCCGAGCCCACCTGACCGGTGGTGGGGCCGGGGGGACGCGGCCCTGCCCGTCCCCGTCCCCGTCCCGCGTCTGCTGCGCCCGACCCGGGGGGGCCAAGGGTCACCCCGGAGCTGCTCCCGGCCGGCCCCGGTGCCGGGAGGGGCCGCGGGGAGGGCCTTGAGGGCGGGGGGGGGTCCGGGTCCCCCCCGTGCCGGGCAGGAGCAGGAGAGGCGTGGGCAGAGCTCGACCTTTATTAACACGCACCCCGAGGGTCCCGGGCGCTGTGGGTGGGGGGCACAGGGCGGGGGGGCCGCAGAGCCCCCGGCACCGCTCAGCCCCGTCCCGCCCGGGACCCCCGAGCACGGGGGGCTCCGGGCCGCCCCCGGAGGCACGCGAGTGGGGGGCAGCGGGGCCCGGGCACCCCCTCCTCGCCCCGGGGGCTGCGCGGGGCTGGGGGGCCGGGCCCCCCCCGCCGTTCCCGACCGTGCCGGGGCTGGAGGGAGGAGGGTCCGGGGGAGGGTCCCCGTTATCTCTTGCTGCTCCTCCGCGTCTCTTTGCCGTTGCTGACGGGGCCGGAGGCGGGGCCGGGGTGCCCGGGCTGGCTGCGGGTGATGCGGCCGCTCGGGGGGTGCGCGGGGGCGCTGGGGGGGTGCGCGGGGCCCCCCGGGCTCAGCCCGTTCCCGTTCTGGCTGTCGGGGGCTGCGAGAGAACCGGGAGGGAAAGGTGGAGCCGCCCCCACCGTCCCCGAGCCTGGGGGTCCCACGGGGGGGGATCCTGCAGCCCCAGGGTGGGGAGGGGGCTGCATGACCTACCTGGGGGGGCTGCGGGGGGGCCCTGGGTGGTCTGTGAAGCAGAAGCACTCGCGCTCTCGTTCTGGGCCTGGGGAGGAGGAGATGGAGACCCCCGTGTGCTGCAGAGCCAGGGGGCTGCCCTCGGGGGGCCAAGGGGGTCCTGGCAGTGCCAGCCCAGCCCCCTCCCCAGCCCGGGACCCCCCAGCTCACCCCTTTGCTCTGCGACTGCTGCGCCACGTACTCGGGGTTGGGCTCGCTGAAGTTGGGCACCTCGGAGTACACCATGCAGAACCTGCAGGCAGAGAGGGGCCGTGGGGTCCCCCCGCCCCCCCAAACCCCCCCAGCTCCGGTGGGACCCCCCGCCCCGTCCTTACTCGCCGATCTTCTGCAGGTCCCCCCCGCGCCCCGTGTAGAGGGTCAGGCAGCCCTTGAAGACGGACGCGTAGCTGAGGAGGAGGAGGAGGAGGAAGGGGGGGGTCAGGGTGGGGTCCCCGCAGGGTCGGGGGTCCCGGGCGCCCCCCCAGTGCCCCCAGTACCCCTTGGTGAGGCGGATGATGTCCCCAGGCTGGATGAGGTTCCCCACATCGTCCCACACCGAGATGTTGATGCTGCCGGTCTTGTCGGCCACTTTGCACGTTCGCACCTCGTGCCCGTCCTTGGTCTTCGTCACCCGGCCTGGGGGGACACGCGGGGTCAGGGGGGCAGGTGGGGCCAGGGGGGACCCCCCGCCCTCACACCCACCCGTCTCCAGCACGATGAAGATGAGGTTGAGGTTCTTCAGCCCCGGTTTCACGTCCTTCACCAGCGTCTCGGTGCTCATGGTGCCGGCGGGACCCTGCGGAGGAACGGGGGGTACCGGGGATGGGGGGACACCGGGGACAGGGGGGACACCGGGGATGGGGGGTACGGGGGGACACCGGCTGTGCCACCCCCGGGGGGCAGGACATCACTGCTGGGACGGGGAGCACAGGTATGGGACCACCCGGGGATGGGACCAGGACACCGGGGATGGGACACCGGGGATGGGACACTGGAGATGAGACTACCGGCCTTGGGACCACCGGGGACAGCAGGGACAGGACAGCGGGGACGCGACACGGGGGGGGGGGGCATCGCTGCTGGGGACAGGGACCGCGGGGACGGAACCACCGGGCTGCGGGGACACCGGGGACGGGACCACCGGGCTGCGGGGACACCGGGGACGGGACCGCGGGGACGGGACACCGGGGGGGCATCACCGCTGGGAACGGGACCACCGGGCTGAGTGCGGGGACGCGGGGAACGAGACCGCTGGAACGGGGCCGCCGGGACACTGGAGACAGGACCGCGGGGACGGGACTACCCACGAGCGAGACTCCGGGGCCACCGGGACCGGGACCGGGATCGGGATCGGGAGCACCGCCCTCTCTCCCGCCCCGCCGCCAGGGGGCGCTCGCAGCCCCCGCCGCGCGCTCACCGGGCACGCTCCCGGCAGCCCCCGGGACACTGCCCCGCGCAGCCAATCAGCGTATGGCAGGGCGGGTGACGTACCGCTGCTCCAACCAATAGCGATGCACTAGGGGCGGGGCTTAGCGCGGCTCACCTCGCGGAGCCCCGCCCCGACCAGTGAGTTGCTGCTCGCGCGAGGCCAGAGCGGCGCTTCCGGCGCGGCAACTTCCGGCGCGGCGGGGCCGGGCGGGGGGGACCCGGTGGAAGCCGCGGCCGCCCCTGAGCCCGGAGCGGCCCCGGAACGGCCCCCGAGTGGCCCCGGAACGGCCTCCGAGAGGCCTGGGCCCGGTGGCCGCGGTACGTGAGGCGGCGGGAGGGGGGCCCCGTCGGGAGAGCCGGGCCCGTGGGCGGCGTTCGGGGCTCCCGGGGCGGGGAGGGCGCGATGCAACCCCGGTAGCACCGGGGGGAGCGGGCGGTGGTCCGGGAGGGGCCACCGGGGCTCGGGGCTGGGGGAGGCCGGACCTCGTCGGGAGTCCGTGTGGTGGGGAGTGACCCTTCCCCCCCCGGCCATGAGAGCCCCGGGGGCCGGTCCCGGTGCCGCTGGAGCCCCGTCCCGGTGGGAGGAGGAGAATCCCCGGCCGTGCTCTCGGTGCCGCGCCCGGACACCGGGAGCGAAACGACGATCCCCCC